AGCCCGGGCAACATAATGAGACTCTGTCTCAAAAAAAAAAAAAAAAATTTATGAAAAGAGAAAATAGCAAAGATAATACAAAAGGGAGAAAGGAATTAAATACTATTTGTCCCTACCCAACAAAGATTACATTAAGTTATGAATATGATTTATACTCAAAGAAATATGCTTCACAGCTTGAAGATACCATAGGTAAAATCATTCTGTAAAAATATATCTACTGAACAGATATTTGCATACCAATGTTCATAGCAGCATCACTGACAATAGCAAAAAAATGGAAACAATTCAAATATTCATTGACAAATGAATGGATAAACAAAATATGGTATATACATAAATACAACAGAATATTATTTAGCCTTAAAAATGAATGAAATTCTGATATATACTACAACATAGATGAACCTTGAGACAGACACACAAGGACAAATATCGTATGATTCCACTTACATGAGATACCTAGAATAGTCAAATTCATTCATAGAGGTAGAACATAGAATGGTGGTTACCAGGGGCTGGGGGAATGGAGAGTTATTGTTTAATAGGTGCAGAGTTTCAATTTGGGATAATGAAAAAGTTGTGGAGACAGATGGTGGTGATGGTTGCAAGCAATGTGAATGTTCTTAGTGCTACTAAACCATAGACTTAAAAGTGGTTAAAATGGTAAATGTATGTTATAAATATTTTATCACAATTATACACATACATACATACATAATTCAAAAGAAAGTAAATCTAAGGAAAGAAAAAAATAAAACTATCAAACAGGTGTAATGGTTTGGAAACTGTAAGTCTGTGAGACTCAAATACTGAATCCTTGTTGGGAAGAGAATGAGTGTTAGAGAAGTTATCACTCAGAACTCCTGATTTGGAAAGAACAAGCGTCATGCTGTGTGTTTACGTTTTTTCTCCATCTCCTCTGTTTGTCATAAAGGAAGACGGATGCCAGGAAGAGAGAATAACTTGGAAAGCAACTCAAAGGCTGAAGGGAAGCTTGTGTCAGGGTTTGCGATGCCAACACGCAAGTAGCATGAAGACAAGTCCCAGAGATCTTCAACATAGAAGCATTATGAGTACAGAAAAGAAGAGAAGTTCTTCTTATAACATGCAGAGCAAAATCAAGGTTAATGTGGTGACAATGGCATTTAATAGTGGTGGCACTGAACTGGTATCCAGGAGCTTATCTACCTTGGTGGTCCTCAACCCTGAATCAACAGGCAAGCCCCATGCCCCCAAATTCTTATTCAGTTTGTATAGGGGGAGGTTGGGCATAATTTTCTTCAAGCTCCCACATGATTTTAACGTGCAGCCAGTGTTAAGAATCATTGCAGGCCGGGCGCGGTGGCTCACGCCTGTAATCCTAGCACTCTGGGAGGCCGAGGCGGGTGGATTGTTTGAGCTCAGGAGTT